AGTAATAATGAGAGCTGCTAATTAAATTGTTTCTAGTGGAACAATTCTTTGCGTTTTAGTAAAAAATAATACTGTATTATGGTATGGACATTTTAGTCATGCACACCTACTTGAAAATCCAATATAGCTTTTGTTGTATTTCTTTTTTTAAAAAAAATCCTCCTGCTTATCAATGTGTGAAAAGAGATCTTTGGCCAGAGGAGGAACTGGCGGGGCTTGACTGCAGAGTTGCTGGACTTTTGGCTGTCCTGTGTAACTCTTCTGTGCAGGCTATCTATCAGGACCCACTTCAACTAATCACCCAAGAAAGCAGAACTCTTGAAACAGATATTGTCTCAAAAGGAAACTTTTATTAGGGACTAGTGATAGCAGGGAAGTTAAGGCGAGATCTGAAGAAAAGCCCACATGAATAATTAAGCATGGACCGGTCCCGGGCCACAGCATGCCAGCAACTGGACCGCACAAACAAGGAAAGCCCCATCCATGGGATGCAGGCAGCACACAAAACCACGCACCCTCCGGTCCACCCTCTTTCCACGTATCTGGTCCCTGGTGCCCAAAGGTTTGGGGACCTCTGTTCTAGCTCTCTTCCATCTGTCTACATGCTTTTGGAAGCTTGGTGCCCGGAATTTGTGAAATGACCCAAAGAAACTCCGTGAAGTTCAGGTCACATAATATGGCTTAGTTGAGACTTGCTTCCCAAGATGGCATCTTGGTGATTATTGCCTCTGTTCCCTGCTTGCTTTTATTGATTTTGATTCTTTGAATCAAAAATGGGAAAATTGACAAGCTCCATGCTAACCTCTAGCATCATCTGTGCTTCCAAGAATGCCCCAAGAACTTGGAAAAGCTAAACATGGGAGTGACTGCAGCCCAGAGGAAAAAAAGAAAGAAGGGTGGGGGAGGGAAGAGAAAGCTGAGCCACTTGGGGAGCATCCCCACATTTGCAACTTTGCAAATAACCCATTTGTTGCTCAGGCTTGGATAAACCCAATAAACTGCAGTGCATTTAATGAACTTTGATTAAGTAAAGTTCATAGGACAGAGAATAATAGGGTAGGAAGGGACTGTCCAATTTCTTCTTGAAAACCTCCAATGATGGAGCACCCACAACTTCTGGAGGAAAGCCGTTCCACTGGTTAATTGTTCTGTCAGGAAATTTCTCCTTAATTTCAGACTGGATCTCTCTTTAACAAGCTTCCACCCATTATTTCTTGTAATGCTTTGGAGAATAGGCTGTCGTCCTCTTCTCTGTGACAGCCCCCCAAGTACAAGAAGAAAGTTATCGTATCACCCCTAGTCCTTCTCTTCATTAGACTAGACATACCCAATTCCCACAAAGGTTCATCGTATGTTTAGCCTCCTGACCCCTTATCATCTCTGTTGCTCTTCTCTGCACTCTTTCCAGAGTCTCAACATCTTTTTTATAAGATGGTGGCCAAAACTGGATGCTGTATTCCAAGTGTGGCCTTACTAAGGCTTTATAAAGTGGTACTAATACTTCACTTGATCTTGATTCTATCCCTCTGTTAATGCAACCTAGGAGTCCATTGGCTTTTTTGGCTGCTGCCGCACACGGCTGGCTCACATTTAAGTGTTTGTCCATTAGGATTCCAAGATCCCACTCACAGTTACTATTTCTGAGCCAGGTTTCGCCTAATCTGTACCTGTAACTTTGGATTTTCCTGCCCAGGTGTAAAACCTTACTTTTCTCTACATTGAATTTTATTCTGTTAGATAGGGCCCACTGTTCAAGTCTGTTGAGATCCATCCAGATCCTGAATCTATGTTCTGGGATGTTGGCTATTCCTGCCAGTTTACTGTTGTCTGAAAATATGAACCCCCCTTCTATTCCCTCATCTAAATCATTTATGAAGATGTTGAAAAGTACTGGGTTTAAAATGGAATCTTGGGGTACCCCACTGTTTACTTCCCTCCATGTAGATGTAGTTCCATTAAGGTACACTTTGAACCTGGTTTGTCAGACAGTTACAAATCTATCTGGTGCTGATGTTGTCTATCCCACATTTTTTAGCTTACCAAGAAGTAAGTTGTGGTCTACTTTGTCAAATACCTTACTGAAATCTAAGTATACTATGTCCACTACATTTTGCTGGTCACCTAATTTAGTCACTTTGTCAAAGAATACAATTTGTTTGGTCTGATCTGTTTTTGACAAACCTGTGTTGGTTTCTGGTTATAACTTGGCTTGCTTCTAGGTGTTTGCAGATCTGTTGCTTGATTATCTTTTCCAGGATCTTCCCAAGTATTGATGTCAGGCTGATTAGTCTGTAGTTTCTTGGATCTCTTTTTTTTAATTTCCTTTTTTGAAGATGGGAACCACATCAGCTCTTTTCCAGTCCTCTGCTAGTCCCCCAGTGCTCCAAAATCTTTGAATGGTTCTGAGATCCATCCATCCCTCTGCCAGTTCTTTCAGAACTCTGGGATGCAATCCACCAGGTCTCAGCAATTTGAACTTGTCTAGAGCGGACAGGTGTTCTCTTAACTTTTCTTGACTCTTTTAATTTGTATTCCCCAGTCTGTCTTTTACAGCTATGTTTTTGATAGGTTGGGCTGTATTATCTTTTTGTGTGAAGATAGATGCAAAGAACGAACTAAGCTTTCTATCTGCTTTCTATCTACTGCCTGTTACTTTCTTGTTATTGTTTCCTTGACTTTTTTCTTGTTTTTTTTATATGTTGAAAAAAAACTTTTTAAAATTATTTGTGTTGCAACTCTTACTTCATTCAGAGCCTTAGCTTTTCTGACTTCACCTTTGCAAGTTCGAGCTATTTTTGCCTTAGTTATGTGTCCCTCTTTTTGTCCTTATCTTAGCAGAATTTTTTTTTAATTTTAATTTTTTTTTATCTTAGAAGACATTTTCCTTTTTTTGTATTTATCTTGGAAGAGAATCTCTGTAGTTCAGGGTGGGACTGTAGAGTCCTTGATGCTGCCTGAGTTTGACTGCCTGCAGATGTCCTGCTTGCCTCTTCTGCAGGGAGGGCAAACAGGCTTACCGTTGCCATGACAGCCTCTTGTTGAGAGGAGGGGAGGGGTGGGACATCTGGAGAAGAGCAGCTTCAGGGGTCAACTGTAGATAGGAGAGGAGCCAACTCCCTCTGAGATCTGGCTGCTCACGGACCTAATCTGGGCTCCTGCAGGTCCCCCAGTCTCAAAACTGTGCAATTTGAAGCCGCTTAGCCCACCCAGTGTTCATTGGAGGAACCAGCGAGTATCACCAACTGGGAGCCATTAAGACTCTCTGCTTAAAGGCAGTGACACCGCTTGGCCTTCAACAGGATCACAAAAAAGATGTTGAGAGTTTGGAAAAAAATTCAGAGAAGAGCAACTAAGATGATCCAAGGCCTGGAGACTAAAACATACGAAGAACGGCTGCGGGACTTGGGTGTGGCTAGTCTAAAGAAAAGAAAAAACAGGGGAGACAGGATAGCAGTATTCCAGTATTTGAGGGGCTGCCACAAAGAAGAGGGGGGTCACATTATTCTCCAAAGCACCAGAGCGAAGGATGAGAAACAACAGTTGGAAACTGATCAAAGAGAGAAGCAACCTGGAATTAAGGAGAAACTTTCTAACAGTGAGGACAAGCAACCAGTGGAACAGCTTGCCACCAGAAATCGTGGGCGCCCAATCACTGGAGATTTTAAAGAAGAGAGTAGACAACCACCTGTCTGAGATGGTATAGGTTCTCCTGCTTGAGCAGGGGGCTGGACTAGAAGACCTCTAGGGTCCCTTCCAGCTCTATTCTATTCTTAATGAATGTTATCACTGAGGGTTTTTCCTTCTGCCACTAAACTCTTTCAAATGAGAAAAGGCAGCCTTACATGTGTCAGTTATGATGAGGTTTGGCTTTGGGGCATGGTCTGAGGGTGATGACATGATGGCCCTATGTGTATATGTGCACGCACACACACACACACACAAGCTGTGCAATGCAGTATTGCAAGCTAACTCACTGCCCACTGCCAGGAGTTCACTCACTGACCGGCTCAAGGTTGACGCAACCTTCCATCCTTCCGAGGTCAGTAAAATGAGGAACCAAATTGTTGACTGTGTAAACTGCTTAGAGAGGGCTGTAAAGCAGTGTGAAGCGGTATATGTCTAATTGCTACGTGCTAGTGCTATTGTTATACCAACAACATCTTTTACCCACCTTTAAAAACCCCACCTTGTTTTTTGAACTGTGGCAGTTGGATTAACAGAAACTATAAACAGTTAAGCCAAAAAATGCTTAAGGGATCCATTGTCAGAATCCAGTTATTGGGTGGGGTGTGTTTCTTTATTCTATCTTCCTGCGAGTTCTGCCATGTTCCTGGGGGAAGGGGGGGGGGGAAGTGATGGGTGCTAAAGTGTATCTTCTCCACTTTGCTATAGCTGCCATAATGTATCCTCTCCGCTTTCCTCTATCTGCCTGCTCTTTGATCTATTTCCCTTGCTGCCAGCCTGGGGTGAGAATGGAATGTGTCTCCGGCCATCTGTCTTATCTCTAAGACCTGCGTCTTATCAACCCCATTCCCACAGTGGGTTCACATTGACCTGTTTGAACTGACCGGATGGACTATTGGAGTGGGGTTTGCCAGATGCTTCTTTAAACCATTAATTCATGCGGGAACCCCTCAGATCCTGCTTTCTATGCCTGCTGTCAACTTCTCCTAATAAAAGTTCCTTTTGGAATGCTGTTCCGGGAGTTCTGCTTTCTTGGGAAGAGCGATTGAGGCAGATCCTTACATCCATTTAGTTACTCCTTTTTAAGAAAACTGTTATCATTTAGAATAAGCTTTGGCCTCCTGCCTGTGCACAAGGTGACCCCAAAACATCAGCAGCTGGGCTGGCCTTCCCCGAGTTGCTGCCCTGGCTGAAATGTTAGCAACAGGGCTGGGATTTCACAGCGGGCCTCGTATCCCTTCAGGAAGACTTTTCACTTTTTTCAAGCTAAGATTAGACTGGAGTCTTCTTATCTCAGAGCAAATCATATTATTTATTATTTTGCAACATTTCAAAGGGCACTGCAATTTAAAAGAGGCAGTATAGAAAAGACGCAGTATATTCAGTCATCTGCAATGCAAAGGGATCAAAGAAAGGCCACTGTACAAAAAACAAAACAAAACATACAGATTGTGTCCATATTGTTTACACGTTATATACAGAGAAAGTTCAAATACTCATAGAATTCGGAAGAAAGTAAAAGCTGATCTATTTGTGAAATTTTTCTTGCTTCTGAACGTCCTTCTAGACATTAGTTGCTTACCTATGACATAAACACAGTACTTTTTTTTAAGATATGAAACTTTCATTTATTAATTCAAATGACTTTGTTTGCATTTACAACATTCATTGCATAAACTTGGACATATAAAGTTTTCCACCTCTGGTTAATAACAGACATTTAGGGTACAAGTTATTGGTTGGATACATGTTCAAACAAATATTTGGGTACAACATCTTGTCCATGGTACATAACTTTTTTTCTTTTTGTATTTTATAGCTACTAAAGACACAGTTCCATTAGCTACTTTGGGTCTCAGAACAGTTTGTCTAAAGGGGACATAAAGCACAGAAAAAGAGAGAGAGAGAGATGAGTTGCTAGCTGCAATGGTTAAACGATCTTTACACATAACCCTCTTTTCATTTAAAAAAAAAAATCAAACTCTGCTAGCATGAATCAACTGTATGCTGTCAAACAACCCAGACATTCACTGACGCTCTCTGTGATGTAGGGAAGAGTCCATGCAACACACCAAGAAAACAAAGGCGAAAGAAAGAGAAGGGGAACAAGAAAACCAGGTAACCCCTAATGAATGTCCAACAGTCATCGCCTTTCATTGTACTTTGTAACTACAGCTCTGCTATTGGAACATAAATGGGGGGGGGACATCCACCCTGGCCCCACCCTGAAAAAGTGGCTGGAAAGTATTTTTCAAGTGCAGTTCCAGCTGCAAATGAGTAGCATTTTTTCCCCATGTTGTCGATAATAGTAGTTTGACGTTTGAGAGGTAAGTTCTGGTCTTGCCGTTTTCACTCAGGTACAATCCTCTCTGTGTAGAGTTTGGCAGCTGCTCCATTCGAAACTTCCCTTTCGATATTTTAAAATACGTGTCCCTGACACCTTCGGCTCTCTGGTGGCTGTGTGTGTGTGTGTGTGAAGCCTTCAGTCCCATCTCTGCGCCACAAAAAGGACTACAACTCGTCAGACCGGATGACGTGGAAAAGGGTGACGTTGTACAGGATCTGGTGGCCGTTGTTCCAGGCGTAGAGAGCTCTGTCCTTGGGGTTGTAGTCCAGCATAGAAATGTGCGAGTACTTGTTTAGGAATGGGATGTCTATGTACTCGTAAGTGGAGCTGTTGGTCTGGTAAGCGTAGGTCACCTTGGTCCCTCCCGAGTAGCCGTTGGTGACATACAAAGTGCCGCAGATGATGAAGCCCTCGCCAGCACTGCGCTTGGGGTAGCTGGTGTTCCAGGTCTGGAGGCTCTGCAAGGTGTTGGGGTCCAGCTTGCTGATGACAATGTTCCCTGCGTTTTGGTTGGTGGCGTAGACGGCCCACAGCCCGTTCTCATCCACCATGAGGTCAATGTCCGAATGGCCACCCCAGGCGTAATGGTAGACGTTATTGTAGCCTGCGTAATCCAGACTGCGGGTTTTCAGGATGGTCTCCGTTTTCAAGTCAAATCTGATGATGATGTGGCTTTGGTATTTGTTGAAATAAATCGAGCCGTTGTAGACCACTTGGCCAGTGCCAGACCAGGGGTGTGGAAGGCGGTGAGAGGTGAAGTTATCCGTGTTCATAAAGTCAGACATGGATTTGTATTCGCGGACAAATCGGTTGTTGTGATAGCTGTCCATGTACCAGACCTGGGGAAGAGCAGCAGAACACAGAGAAGCAAAGAGCATTAAAACATGGACCCAGCTAAGGCTTCTGCTGTCAGAAGTCAGTAGCCTAGCTTTCTCTAATCGGGTGCCCTCCAACTGTGGGACTACAATTCCCATCTGCTTCAGTCACCCTGTCCAACAGCATTGCATTCAACACACACACAGATTGTGGCGATGAATAAATACAGGTATCCCATATAGGGTTTTGAAAGACCATCTGAGACATGTCCCATTATATGGCAGCTTTGACAATGTCAACAAGCTCCATTTCTTTCAAAGTTACCCATACATTTCTGTGATGCACACAGGTAAAGCTTTCCTGGTCCTTCAGACAGACACCCATGGACACCACCCTTCTTCCCTCTTTGTGGACATCCATCGTGGGATGGACCTCTGGTGCTCTGCAAAATCCTTTGCTCTCTCTGTGGCTCTGCAAAACGGGCTCTGGCTCCACAAAGCACCCACCGTCCTCCCGAATGAGCAGAGCTGTGCAGGTTTCCCAGGAAAGGGAGCCTTCCTCTCCACGAGGTGATTCTGTTACGCATCAGCCCTCATGGAGACAATTAAATCTCCATCAGTGAGATGAGAGGGCTTGGCTAAAGAACTTAACAGAGACCTGCCGGGTCCTGCTGGCTTCACTTGGTCCTCTGTCTTTTGTCTGCTCCCTTCCTCTCCCACCCCTTGAGATGTGCCAGGAAAAGATAAACCAGAACTAGCTGGAGACAGGCAGAAAAATAAGGTCCCACCCTGGAGACAAGCGTTGTGGCTGCCAAGCCCATTGCCTGGACTGTGCCTCCAGCGAGGGACGAGACAAGGCAGGCCCCTCTGCCCCCTCGGAAGGCTGTCCGCTGGCCTGTCCTGCAAGCCAAGGTGGGCCATCGTGAATGACCAAGAGAGCTGAGGATTCTCAGTGGGGTTTGCATAACGCATCTCCTCTTCTTGGGACAATGTTCTGGTCAAAGCCCGACTGCCCTGTTCCCAGCATCAGAGGAGGGATAAGGAAGTGGTCCTACCTTGCTTTCACCCTCGGGAGCCAAGGGGTCCGTCATCCAGGAGCCGAAGCGTGAGCCAGAGGTCTTTACGGTGATGGGGTCGCTTATTGCAGTCAACTTCCCACATGCTGCAAGATAGTTGAACACAACAATAGTAAACAAGTCCTGCAATTCCCTCCCCACCCTAGCCTACCTTTCACCAGGGTCCGCATAATTCTGTGTCAAAATGTGCAATTTTTTTTTTTTGGTCCTGGGAAAGAGCTTGTTTTTTTTCTAAATTGTATTTACGATGCTTTCACATTTCTTTGGATGGTAGTTTTGAGTTCAGAGCTTTATTCACCAGCCAGAGAAAGTGGCTGAGATACCAGAAGAAGTGGGTGTTTTTTTGGGAGGCAGGGGAGATTGCAGGGTGTGTTGCAGGGTGTGTTGGCGAGGAGCTCTCGGTGTGCGCACAGAGGGCCCATTTAAAGAGAAAATAGTTGCATCCTCATGTAGGGAAGAAACAAAGCAGAACAGCTGCTGCTCACCATGGAACAGAGCCAAATCTATACAGAATAACAGAGCTGAAAGGGACCTTGGAGGTCTTCTAGTCCAACCCCCTGCTCAAGCAGGAGACCCTATACAATTTGAGACAAGTGGCCGTCCAGTCTCATCGCTCTGTCCAGTGATGGAGCGCCCACAACTTCTGGAGTGAAGCTGTTCCACTGGTTGATTGCTCTCACCCTTAGAAAGTTTCTCCTTAATTCCTGGTTGCTTCTCTCCTTGAATAGTTTCCATCCATTGCTTCTTCTCTTGCCTTCTGGTGCTTTGGAAAATAAGTTGACCCCCCTCTTCCTTATGGCGGCCCCTCAAATATTGGAACCAATGTTGAAACGTACAAGTAGTCCAAGATTTACAACAATTCATTTGGTTCTCTGCCCATCTGTGGTTTTCTCGGCTGCCATTGTTTTCTGGTCAGAAAAAGGCCCTGGGGAGAGTCCTTCGGGCTGCCTTCCCTGTCACTTGGGAAGCGAGGAGGCTGCAGGTGGCTGGAGAGGAGCGAGACCTGCCTTTGGTGCCTCCTTCAAAACAGGTGCAAGCCCTCCACACTCCATGAAAGAGATCCTTGCCAAAAGTGTATTCTTCACAAAAGATTATCATCACCAAATGCTAGAGATGGAAGAGTCATCTAGTCTGAGAGAAGACCGCCCAGCATCTCTCGTGAAAGTGAACTCACCATTTCTTGAGAGCGAGTTCTTCATTTCACACACAGGGAGAACTCATATAACTCAATGGAAGCTACCAGCGCTCAAGGAAATCACTCCTGCATGTCCCCTGAATAATGGGAGAGTGTTCCGTCTCAGCAGCCATGCACGAAGAGTGATGCTTTGGTACGCCTGTTTTGGGAGGTCCAGGAACATCACCCCATCCACAATAAGGAGCAGAAAGCTGAATTTATTAGTGTATTTGGTTTTAGACATTAGGATTTTGATAGCTGAATTCAGCTTTGCAGCAACTAAGGCTATCTAGGAAGCACTGCATCATATTTCTGAAGACTCAGAAATATATAATGCCCAATACACAATGATATAGGCATCCATCAGGCATCTAATTACAATTCGCTAAAAGCGACCGCATCAAGAAGTGACCAATAGTTTTATGATCTCTGCTTTCTCCATCCTCCTATCTTATGTATTTTAGGAACTTCTCCTTCAGTAAGTAGTAATTATATGTTCCTTGGATCTCAAATGAGTAGACAAAGATCTACCAGGGCTGTGGGATGTTTCTGTTTATCACCAAACTTGAGAAAAAATTGGCTCCACCAATTATGGATTGCTGTTAGAACAACAGTCCAAGGAACAATGTTTTCAGTGGCGATAAGTAGGTGAACGTTGGCACATAATATAATAAGTTGCCAATTCATGGAGCAAAAGAGAAGGATTCTAAAAAGCCTGTGGACTGCTTTAGGGAGTCTTGTACATGTCTTTCTTTTAGCCTGTGAGATGTAAAATTCATTGAGCGAGGTCTCCTCTTTGAGCAAGGAGCTGGACTAGAAGATCTCCGGGTCCCTTCCAACTCTGATATGCTATGATTCTATGACTCATTTCTGGGATATCCAGTCTTGAAAAGGGAGTGAAATGGCAGCCCTCTGGAGCCAATCCAGGGGTTGGGGTAAGAGATATATTCCCTTCTCTGGTGTTAGCAAGATCAATAAAATTTGTGGAATCCTGGTCTGATTTTTAACCTTATCTTTAACAAGCAAGCTATGTACTACTAAAACTCTTGTGTCTGTAACCTTTAAATAGATTTTTAAAAAAAGGGGGGGGACTTTTTGAACCAAGGTTATCTCAAACAGGCTAACTTACAGAAAGTATCCAAAATCTGAGACCCATGACTTACGTGGAATAGAAATTTGGCAAATGTTATAAAACTCTATGAGCTGCAAATGATTATTTTATCGTAAAGCGTTTTACGACATAACACAGGATGTCATAAAATGCTTCCTGTGGTCAGCTCTGGCTGTTTGTCTGTGCTATTAAGTTCAACCTGGGTGCTTTCAAGGCAGATGCATCTCTGAATTTTAGAAGAACTTTTCAAGTACACTAGAAGCTCTGTCACTGTTGAAGGCAACGAGAAATCTGGTAAGGAAATCTCTCTGAAACAATGGCCCAAGGAGTCAGGGGCCGGCTAGTGGACCACAGATATAAACTGCCTTTCATAAAGGCTCCCCATCTTCAAGAGAATACGAGACAGGGAAGAGACCACCTGCCATCTCCTACCTACTTACCTGGCATAAACCTTCGCAATGCTTAAGGCTTAGTTCTGACTGAGCTTTGCTGGCATTCTACCACTATAGCTGCTGCTTCCTGTTTTAGCCCACAGCCTCACTGATATCCGGCCATCCCTGACCATCCCATGTAGGAGGTCCACAGGAGATCATTTAGCTCACTTGATTTCCAGCAAGAAAGCCTTTGTTCCTGCCCTGATCTGCTTAATGGAACATTTCCTCGACAGAGATATGGCTAGTCCTGCCACAGACCCTGCCCCACAACTCGGACACGTTCCCGACTTTCCAAACAGATCCCTGGTTATTGGATCAGGGGCTTTCCGAGTGATGGACTCTCAAGTCACCAGGTGATCCTGGCTCTGGGGAAGTGGGATCGTGGAACAGCAAAGGCCCTGAGGGAGACGGGCAGTTTGGAAATATGAACTATAAATAAATACAGTAAGTCGATAAATAAATAGGTCTCCCACTCAGGGTGGCTTCAGCAGAAAGAGAACCCTGATGGACTTCAGAGGGCCCTCTTGAGGTTGGCAGTTCGGCCCCTGGTTTTAATGATTGGTGTTTATACTTGTAGCCATCATATTAAACTTATCTCTGCATTTTTCCCCCGTCAGCTGTTTGAAATCTCATTTTTCTTTTTATTTGTTTAGTTGTTAGCTGAAGATTTACTGCTGATGGTGTTTTAGAACAGCAGGATATAAAACCAGTGCTAGTGACAGTATTTAGACTCTTGAGACTTAGTGGATTTGGAATCTTGGCTTGTGAGAGCTGGACCCTTCCAAGCCAGTTAAACTAGGACAGATGTGAGCTTGTACAGAGCCCAAGATCTCCTCGGGTGTTTCAAGGAATGTTCAGGAAAGGTTTTCCTAGCCCGCTTTTGGTCAGCAGTTTCTCATCCCCCCCTCCCTTCCCCATGCACATTCCAGATTGAAGAGTCCTGCCACAATGGTCATTCTGGAAAGCCCCGGGGGTTGGCATGGGGTGGCAGAATGGCCCTGAATCCTCCATCCATCCATCCATCCATTCAATCCATCCATCCATCCATCCTCTCTGAGGTGGGCAGGCCTTCTGGCGTATCAGGCCTGCCCTGCCCAAGTGTCTCCCCTGACCTCTCCCATACCGGGACTCAAGCCGAGAGCCACAAGGGCACCTTCCTCTGGCCCTGGGGGGGCACTTGCAGTGGGACTCTCTGCCCGGGGCTGAACTCTGCTGTGGCAGGGAAACAACTGAGTTCGCGGGGGGGTGGGGGGAGGAAGGAGAGGGGGCGGTTCCTGCATCTCTGGCCAGCCTGGGTGTCCGGTGGGAGCAGAACAGCCCAGAGGGTGAGGACGCCCTGCCTCTCAGGGGCCGATGCGTCTCCTACCTAATTTCTGCATGCATGCCCGCAGCCTCTCTTCAAGATTTGACACTCTGCTCTGAAGCTCTTCGTAGTCAAAGGCGCCAATTTCCTCTTGGAGTTCGTTTAGAACCGACGTCAGGTTCTGCACCTCCTCCTTAAACTGCAAAACCAATTTGGCATCGGCTTTGTACTCCTCCAAGACTGGGATCAAGGGCCTAAGCTCTTCCATTTTCGCTTTTATCGCCTGCAAGGTTAAAATAAGCTTGGTTTCAGTGCTCTGTGTGCAAATTCCCCCCCTCCCTCGCCCTTCTCTCTCTCTCCCTGCACTGGGCCGCCGCTGCTCCGCTCGGGGTGCGCCACAAGGACCGCCACGATTAGTATTAATAATGCTTGTGTGGAGCGTGGAAACTCAAATGGGAGAAATATAAATATATATAAATATATATATGCATATATTAAACAGTCTGCAAAACACCATCTTATTTGGGAAAAAAGGCCTTTATTTTTATTTTTTTTCTGTTTTTAGAATGCAACATCTTAAGGTTACATGCTTCGGTCACATACACAAATTCTTTTTTTTTTCTTTTCCATAAAAGAATGATGATGATCAGGATGAGGATGAGGAGGATGAGAATAATAATAATAATAGTAATAATAATAAGCAACGCATTGACAAGGAAGTTCCAAAACTAGTGATGATGAAATGTATTTCTACAAATTCCATGCAAAAGACAGGCTTTCAGCTGTGTGGTTCTGGTAAGGGTGGAAATTGGAAAGAAAAATAAACAAGGATCAAAGAACTCAAAAAAAAGAAAGAAAAGGAAATAAAGACCAACTCAAAGGGTGGCGGGGAAATCTCTCTGCCCTCTCTCTCTGTGTGTGTTTTTCATGGTTACATGTGGGGGGGATGAACAGCTTCTTCAGCCAGTGCGACATTGTAAAAATTTCTTTTAAGTTAGCCCTGCAAGCAAGAAGACGAAACACTCAAGTCCCAGAGGCTTACTCGGAAGTCAACACAGTCCGCATCCCAGCCGTGGCCCTGCTGACGCCCTCCCCAGGGACCTCCTCTCCATGGATGGTGCACCACTAAGCACCACCTCACGGGTGGGGGGGATCGTAGGAGCTTCTGGCCAGCTCCCCCCATTCTCCCAGTGCCTCCCTCGACATCTGCCACCTTGCCCTTCGCCCAAGCCCTCCCCAGCCCCCCATTGCCAGGAGGCCCTCTGCCCTTGCTGACCGCATGGTGGCCCTGCAATGGAAAGGAGGGGAAGCCCCCCGTCCCCAAGCAAGCTGGCACAGCTCCAGACCCCTGGGGGGCACATTCCGTGCTCAAGGCTGCCAGGGGAAGCTCCCCGGCTCTCTGCTTTGGGCCAGGCGCCATGGGAGCTCACGTTTTTTGTAGGCAGGGAGCCCTACTGGAAGGTTTGCCTGCAGGGCTTGGTCTCATTTTTCTAAAGAGGAAGACATCCCCCCTCCCCCTTGAGTAACTATTATGGTCCCCCCTGCGAGACACAAAGGATTCTGGGAGAGGGGGCAATAGGAGGGCGGGTCTGTGGTAGCCAAGAATGAAAGGGAGCCCTGTTTTAACGAGCAAGTCACTAAAAGGCAGAAGCTTCAGCAGACCTCTGAGCAGCTCTCGCTTGGGGAGAGAAAGCCTTTAATGGGGTTGGGCCTTATGAGCTTGGCATGCAAACGTCAAGGGACGTGTTCTGGGAAAACCTTTTGCTATTCCTTGGATTCTTTGCTTCATTTGCAGTCTCTCTCTCTCCCCTTCCCTTCCCTTCCTTCTCCAGCCCATTGAAGGCCTCCGAAAGGAAGATGGCATCCCACCCCAGCGGCTTCCTCAGAAGCCAAGCCACGGCCATTGCCAAGGACTTCTCTGCTGTGGAGAACTCTTTTCCCTGGAGAGTCATAGGGCACGGAGCTGGAAAGGACCTCTTATCCATGATGAAGCTATCATCAACCTGGTTTCTCTGCTGTGAAACAATTTGTGAAGGATCCTGGAAAGCATTCTCCCCCACGTCTACTTAACTTTGTTTGCAGTGCCCGCCAATAAATAAAGGGTGTCCTGCCTTTCCCATAGGGCCACTCACTCGGCTGAGAATGTGCAGGACAAAAGGGTCCCTTTGGACCCACGGAAGCCCTCACCCCCCTTTAGGGGATTTTTCTCTAGAGCCTTCCCACCAACCCATCTCTGCACTGGGGTCAAGGACAGGTTGGGGTTGAAGCCTGAAAACAGTTCCAGACAGGGTGGGCTCCTCTCCACTGGACGGACTGAAAGGCACCAGAGCCTGGCCAGCCCCCTCTCCAGGATGCCTGAACCTGGGGCTCTGAGTTCATTGCATTTCATGGGGGGGGGCTCCGAGTGCCACCGGAAGACCATTTTGATGAGAGGCTCAGACTGTCCCAGCACCAGGCAGGAAAACCCATTTAAAAAAACACCAGGGGCAATACATCCACACAGCACATTCATTCGTAGTGGCAATGGCTCAGAAAAGCCCTTGGTCAGTGGAAGTGGCCAGTTGGAGGCTCACAGCCATCTGTGGGGGGATCTTCCCATTGGGCTTCCTACACTGAGCTGGGGCTGGGTTAGACGTCTCAAAGAGGCCCTTCCAGCTTGAGGATTCCATGTACAATATTAAACTCCCAGTTAGATTTCAAAACTGACAAGGACGCCTTTCATTCATTGCATCAGTTTTACTCAGCACAAAATCTTAGGGACCTTAGCAAGTTCCAGAGATAGTTGTGTGCTTTTGTGGGTAGGGAGGATAAAGATCTATTAAATGGGAACCAGCCCAGTGGAGAGATGAAAGCTTTTGAGGGGAGAAAAAAAAATTGGAGATAAAAAATAAGGTTATTGGGTAAATGACTATGGAGATTCTCAATCATCACAGTTGTCTCCAAGATGCTTTTTCCAAAAGGCAACTGGAGCTTCTTGGGTTTTTTTTCCTTTTCTCTTCTTGGATGAGAAGTGAAATTTTTTCAAACCAAGGAAGTCCAATTGCCTTTTGGAAAAAGCACCTTTCAGACTGAGTTTCTGGGTCTTTTTTTTCCTGTGGTATCAACTGCTTCACCCCCTCCTGCTCCTGTGGTTTTAATAGCAGCCAAAGGAGTGGAGATTTTAGTAGGAAAAGTAGATTTAAAATGCTGATAAAAAGAAAAAGTTGCAGCCCAACAATCTGACACTCGGATTTTAAAAGTCTTTAAGTTCATCCCAAGTTTAGGGCTTCCAGGATGCCTGAAGCAAAGGAAATGGAGGCTTCCTGGAAACTCTTGAGTGACTGCAGTGGAAATCGAAGCGGCACAAAGTCCATTCTGCCTCTGTGCTGAGCTTCAGCCACCATGGTTGTGAGCAAGGGCAGTCCTGCAACGGGAGGGGAGCCCAACCTTTGGGGAAACGGTGCCTAAGAGACCCCTCGGCCTTCTCCCCTCTGGAACAAATTCTGCCAAGAAAGCACTTCTTTCCCTCCCGAGCCCAAGTGGTCTACTTACCTTAAACTGTCTGGCCAGGTGTTGCTTGTGACTCTCTTCCACTTGCTTGAACTTGGATTCCAGGCCTCTCATTTGATTTTCCATCTTCTCAACGTACTGAAGATCCCGTTGAGTTCGCCTGTCCAAGACTTCTATTGACTGGGACATGTTCTGCACCTGTGGGGCAATCGGGTGCCAGGGAGGGGGGAAACCCAGAGAGAAGACGTCATTAAAGCAAGAAAGACATAAAGGGGAGATCGACAAAATCTCTTTGCCATGATCAAGAGAAGGAAGACCAGAAATAACAGATACAAGTTACAGCTACCGAGATTTCATTTACACTTAAGGAAGACTTTACTGAAAATAACAATTGTCCAGTAGTGGAACTGCCTACCTAGAGCGGATTCTCCAACTCTGGAAGTTTTTATGAAATTGGACAGTCACCTCTTGGTAATACCTTAATTGATTTTCCTGAACGGATTCTACAGTTCTATGGTAAGAGAACATGTACAATGCAGCGGGGACAAAAAGGCTCGAATCTTCCATGACAAGACAGTGAAAAATAGCAACCAGGTTTGTGGTTCAGTAAACTCAAAGGCTGCAGTTCTCTCCTCCTTGGACAGAACTTGTAAGCCACGTGATACTTGCTAACTCCCGAGTAGAAATACAGTAAAGTCTTCCCTTGGACAGAAGGACAAATGTTGATTAAATGACAAATGAGATTCTGTGCATGACATTGCTGGGTAAAGTCTCTCACTGCTTGAAATCGAAGTGGCATCTGTTACAACAGGTCAGCCACTTGAGCTGAAATTGAGGGTTTACTCTATGCAGGTGTAGATGTACTACTGTCAATGCAGCCAAAGAAAGCAAGGCGGTCAGATGGAGGTAAGGTTCTTGTGGTAACAGTTATTTTATTTTATTATTATAATATTTGTGTGTGTTTGTATAATCAAATAATGCTACGATTTATAGGTGGGATGCTGGAATTTATCCATTCATTATTGATTTGATTTATAAGCTATCTAATCCAGAAGTATCTTAGGGCGGCATTTTATAAAATGTCAAAACATATTACGTAAACTACACTGAAAATAAACCAGTAATGAACAAGAAAAGAACAAGACTCCACTCCAGGGGAATGGAAGTAGAACTGAACAAGACTCTGCTTTCAGCTTCTACATCGTCCTGGAGAAAGGTCTGCTGGAAAAGCCAGAGTTAAAAGCTTTCTAGAAAGACAACAGAGCAGGAATTTGCTACTCGAAAGAGTAGCAACACATCTCTCAGATCACATAAGGTGGTGGCACAGTTTGATTGATGGCCCTGAAATGTGCCAACACTTAGAGAGCTTAGAGAATCTAGGATCAACTGGGTAAGACTAAACCGTCTCTCAGGTTGCTGACTATTGTTGGCATGTGTATGTTTTGCTGCCAACATGCCAGTTCACACCCCCCCCACACCCCACCCCTCTATCAGCTGCTTCATTTGCAGCAATTGGCAAGAAGAAAAGCAGGCGGCTGTTGGGCAGGCTCTTCCCTCGATTGCTGCAGGATACTGATCAAAGGAGGAGGTGTGCTGGTGTGTGAGCCACGTGTGGAAGAGTCAGCAAAGACAAAAAGCCCTGGAAGGGAGGTGCCCATCCAAGGGGGTAACTGTCCTGAGGGTCCCCTTCCTGCTTGCCCAATTTCCGGCCAGCCACAAAGCAGCAGCAGCAGCTATGAAAGGATGGCTGGGATGTGCTCAGAAAAGTAAAGGGGTCCGTTTGCATCTATCCAGGATTTCCCCAGCCAGGGAGCCAGGAGAGGGTTCCTTAAAGCAAAACAGGCACCCAGGAGCAGTTTTGGCCTTCCTGACTTGGATGACCAAGTTTGCAAATGGCCCTACGTTAACAGGGATAGGATCCACTTTAGAGGACAGTAGAGATGGGAGGAAGGAAGGAAGGAAGGAAGGAAGGAAGGAAGGAAGGAAGGAAGGAAGGAAGGAAGGAAGGAAGGAAGGAAGGAAGGAAGGAAGGAAGGAAGGTTCAAAATGGTCTTGACAAGCTGGAACAGGCAGACACCAACAAGAAGAATTTCCCCTAGCACAAGCTTAGCGTGGGAAGGAGCCACACTAAGCAGCAGCCTTGAATCACTAGCAAAACATGCCAGCCTCGCTCTGTATGAAACTCCTGGGGGAGGGAGGTCACCCTTTGGAGTGCAGTATCTTCTTTACGCTGATGATACCCAGCTTTATATCCCCCCCCAAGTTGCACAGGAGAAGCGCTCCCTGTCTTAAGCCGTGTATGGAGACCAGCTGGCTTGGAGGGGGCTGAACAGACTTTGGCTCCATCTTCATAGGACTGGGTGGCTGCTTGGAGCCCCAGATTGGGGAGGTGACCATCTTTGATCTTGGATGGATCAAGACTGGTGGTGCCACTTGTTTTAGACAGCCACTCATGACCTGGTCCCTTCACCTTTGCACTACTGCAATGTGCTCTACATGGGACTGCCCTTGAAGACCATCCAGAAGCTACAGCTGGTTCAAATCCATCTGTTTAATGCTTTTAACTATTTTTATGTTTTCTCTTTGAAACTCAAATACTTTGGCCACTTAATGAGAAGGAAGGACTCACTGGAGAAGAGCCTAATGCTGTGAAAGATGGAGGGCAATAGAAGAAGGGGACGACAGAGAATGAGGTGGCTGGATGGAGTCACTGAAGCAGGAGGCGTGAGCTTCAAGGGACTCCAGAAGATGGTAGAGGACAGGAAGGCCTGGAGGAACCTTGTCCATGGGGTCGCCATGGGCTTGACACGACTTCGCAATTAACAACAACAATGTTTTCTCTAATTATGAATGTTGCAACTGGCTTTGGGTAGCCAATACATTTAAATAGATAAATAAAAAATGATAATGGGATGTTAAAAAAAAAAAAGCAAATGCAATCCTCAGCTGAAGCACATTTATCAAAATCGAGAAAGATCTATATTCGGTATTGGTCAGATCACACCTAGAATATTGAGTCCAGTTCTACATTTTAGGAAAGACACTGGCAAATTGGAGCATGTCCAGTGAAAAGCAATGATGAGGAGGGGGCTGGAACAAAAAGCTTAAGAGGAACGATGGGATGTGTTGGGTACATTCGGTCTGGAGAGAAGAAGACTGCTGTGAGACAAGTGTCCAGGGATGGTCATGTAGAAGATGCGGCAGGATTGTTCAGAAGCATATTGGAATGGTTTGGGCTGGATACAAGGAGAGGATATAGGCTATGACTCGAAACTGGAGCTGTGTCATTACGCAAACTACCAAGTTCATTCAAGGAGGTAATTAGTGTGAGGATGTGTGTGGAGATGCGAATCCTGGAGCCAGGAGAATCAGCCGGGGACAGCAGCAGAAAGGTCATCTGCCTGAACTTCTTCCCAGTGGCAAGATGGATAATATCTTTCTTTCAACTATACTAATTATTGATAAATTTGCATCCAGGCCGCGCATCAGAACATGCAAATCTCTGCAGATCCGTGCCCATGGCTGCCCTTTGTGATGTATTACAAACTTCAGAAGGAGCACTAAAACATGGCCAAGCTCTGCCCTCTTTTCCCTGTTGCTAAATGTACAGCAGCAAACAATCCCCGAAGGCAAACCTTGATTTGCAGAACATTTTCCAAGGCAGAGTTTGACTCAAGCACAATTTGCCATGCAGGTAGTCCTCACTTAATGACCGGCAACACCATCATTAAGCAAAGCAGTTGTTAAGCAAGCATCATGGGACTGCCCTGCTTAGCAACAGTAGTTCTGATTGTGGCTGTTAAGCGAATCACCACAATCATTAAATGAGACATCATGGAACCATGATAGCAAGAGCACCTAGTCTTATATGCCGCTGCACCCGGTGCTTTACAGCCCCTCTCTAAGCTGTTTACAGAGTCAGCCTCTGGCCCCCAACAATCTGGGTCCTCATTTTACCGACCGTGGAAGGACGGAAGGCTGAGTCAACCGGGAGCTGGTGGCTTGTTTGGCCAGCTTCCCTGTTCGCCTGTTGGAAGCTGGATGGGAAGGTTGCAAATGGATGGTTGTCAATGCACAACAGTTGCCAAGTGCCCAGTTTGTGATCACGTGACTACAGGGGCACTGCAAGAATTGTAAAGAGCGAGGACTGGTCCCAACTCACTTTCAATGGTCACTGAACAAGGACTACCTGTATTGGAATTTGGCACCTATTACTTCTTTCAACCATCTTCATTTTTTAAAAAAACGTCCTCTTCTTTGATGAGAATCCTTTTATGGATGTCTCAGAATGACAGGGCATTGAAATTTGAGACACAAAACTGCTGCGTAAGCAACCCTGTTTGTGGGTCTGGCTTGTTTTCTTCAAAGGTTCCACAGTCCCAAGACTGCGCGCAGAATCTTGGCATGGGCTGAAAATTAAGCCTGCATGAATGCTTGGTTGCTCGAAGTGATGGCTCAGCACATAAGGCAAAACTCTGGGCTTCCTTAATGCAGGGAGGTTTGGCCTGCCCACTGCAAGGGGCGAACATCCTCCTGCCCAAGAAATGGTGGCTGACGCCTTTAAAAACGACAAGCCCCTTCCTTCCTTTCCTTCCTTCTTCCTTTCCTTCCTTCCTCCTTCCTTTCCTCCCTCCCTCTCTCCTTCCTTTCCTTTCTTCCTTTCCTTCCTCTCCTTCCACCCTCTCTCCTTCCTTGCCTCCCTCCCTCTTTCCTTTCCCTCCTCTCCTTCCTTTCCTTCCTTCTTCCTTTCCTTCCTTCCTTTTCCATCCTTCCTTCCTTTTCCTTCCTTCCTTCCTTTCCTTCCTCCCTCTCTCCTTCCTTTCCTTTCTTTTCCATCTTTCCTTCCTCCCTCTCTTCCTTTCCTTCCTTCCCTCCTCCCTCCCTCCTTCCTTTCTTTCCTTCTTCCCTCCCTCCCTTCCTCTCCCGCCCTGGAAAGCATTTGTGCATTATAAAGGCCGTGAAATGCCTTCTAATCCTGCACTGGCAATCTGAGGCCATTTCCACACAAATGATTGATAAGTCTCTCCAGCCCCCCTGTAGCCAGAGGAAGCCTGCCTTCATTCGTGATCTACGGCTCTGGCGCAGAAAGACAGCCTCACTCACTAGTGCGGAAACAGCCAGAGCGAATGAATATTCAGGTGGTCCTCGCTTAAGGACCCTAATTGGACAGGAATTTCTGTCAGTAAGCGATGGGATATTAGTGGTAACATCACATGACCACGCCACGGAGCCATGGCAGTTTCAGTACAGGCAGTCCTCGACTTATCACAATTGACTCCAAACTTATTAGGTGAATCTGCTTGCTTGTCAGAAGATGGCTAGACAGTCCCCTGTCTGAGATGGTCTAGGGCAGGGATAGGCAACCTTGGCTCTTTTATGACTCGTGGACTTCAACTCCCAGAGTTCCTAAGCCAGCATGGCTCAGCTCGGAAACCTCTCCCTTTCCCCTCAGCGTGGCTGGCTCAGGAATTCTGGGAGTTGAAGTCCAACAGTCATAAAAGAGCCAAGGTTGACTACCCCTGGTCTAGTCCAATCCCCTGTTCAAGCAGGAGGCCCTATGCCATTCCAGGCAGATGGCTGTCCAGTCTCTTCTCGAAAACCTCCAGTGATGGAACACCCACAACTTCTGGAGGCAGGTTGTTCCACTGATTAATTGCATTCACGGTCAGGAAGTTTCTCCTTAGTTCTAGGGTGGATAAATTTCCATCCCTTGCTTCTTGTCCTGCCTTCAGGTCCTTTGGAGAATAGGTTAACCCCCTCTTCTCCATGAGTGCCCCTCAAATATTGGGAGACTATCATGTCAGCTCTCGCCCTTCTCTTTGTTATACCCTACGACTGTTCATCATATGTTTTAGCCTCTGGACTCTAATAATCTTTGTTGCTCTTCTCTGCTCTCTTTCTAGGGTCTTAACATCTTATTTTTGTATTGTGGTGACCAAAAGTGAACATGGTATCTCAAGCAGTATAGAGCAATTCTAATACTTCACATGATCTTTATACTATTCCTCTGGAGGCGGATAGGCAGTCTAGGCACCAATTACTCTATACCTGGGCATTTGGTTTTTCTTGCCTAAATGTAAAATCTTTCTTCGGTCACCACTGAATTGTATTTCGTTGGATACTGTCCAAATCTATCAAGATCCATCTATATCTTGAGTCTATCTTCAGAAGTATTGGCTATTCCCCCCAGCTTGGTGCTGTCTACAAATTTGACGAGTTCCCCTTCTATCCCCTGATCTAAACCGTTTATCAAGATGTTGAGAAGTACTGGTCCTAAAGCAGAATCTGGAGGTACCCCATGCTTCCCTCCATGCAGAGGTAGTTCCATTGAGGACTACCCATTGAGTGCAGTTGGTCAGCCAGTTAAGAATCCTTCTGGTGGTGATGTTGTCTATCCCACATTTTTCTATCTTACCAAGAAGCAGGCTGTGGTCTACTCTGTCAAATGCCTTACAGAAGTCTAAGTATACTATGTCCACAGCATTTCACTGGTCCATTAATTTAGCCACCGTGTCAAAGAATGCAATAAGGAAGAGCTGCCCTGATTATATCAGTCCCTGGAACTTCAGTAACTTTCTGAACAAAGAACAAGGCAATTCATAACTCTGATGTATCAGTGCAGATCCTTCTTGCACTCTGTTCAGGAAGGTTTAGAAAGGCTGAGAAAGGCCTGGTTTAGCCACAGCTACAGAACACATCAATAAAACAGAGCTGTGATATGCATTCCACTTACAGAATATTGGCAACAGAAGAAAAACGCTATCATGTCCAGCACAAGGAATGGCACCCCTTTAAACCAGCATTTCTCAACTTTGCCCCCTTGAAGATGTGTGGAATGCTTGCCAGGATCTCTGAGAGTCAAGATCTCCCCATCTTCAAGTGGCCAAGATTGAGTAGAACCGCTTTGAACAGTCCACGGTCCAGCAACCAACATCTGAAGCTTTGCTACTGGAAAACATCTAAGGTGTTAAATTGCTTTACGCATTATGATTGGGGGTAGGGAGAAGTCTATCACCATATTCATCAAAACCTGGCAGATCATATCCCAAATGCCAAGGATAATGATATGTTCAGTTGCCAGAATCTAATTAATTTGGGGAATGGAGGTGGAGAGATGATATTTCATAAAACTCTGTGCAATGGAAGCAATTAAACACTGAATTCCTTGATCTCGAATATTATCCTTCTGATCTCTGTGGACTGGAGGCTATTAAAAACAGATCACATGGATATAAAAAACATACTCAGGAATCCACAAATCATCCTTTTCCGTTACGGTTTGGTGATATCAAACCCAACCTTTTCAAGTCAGTTGAGAAAACAAAGAGCACAGCCTTGCATTTTAATGTTGCTGCTCACGTGTCTTTTTTTGGAAGCTGGTGCTTTGAACAAGTTCAAGCATTAAATTAATGAAGAGCAAAGTGGTTTGGGCCAATTGAAGGTTTAATACTTTCCTCTCTTAGAAGATTTATTTAGGACAATAGACTGGCTTTGATCTTTTCAGTTTTAATTAGCCAATATAGATTCAAGTCTCTTGAACATCAAATGCATTTTCTGTGGTTCTCATCACGATAACGAGGGACACAGATTAATTGAAACCAACCAATATACATACCCCTTTTGTGGCCCTTCATGTATAAAGAAGAAAGGTAAATCTTTACCTTTACTATTCCCTGACTATTCAGGAATTTTAAAGTTAGCACACTTCATCACTGGGTTCCCAATTGCAAATTTGGAAACAACAATAGCTGTCCGTATGTGACACACAATTGCATGGGTAGCTGGCAGCTCCAAGCCCAAACAAGAGGCATTGATTTTTCTCTAAAAGAGTCAAATTCCAAATGTGGAAGGAAAAAAACTCAAAATATTATTTTCCTAAAATGTTGTAACTAAAATTTAAGTGGCGAAAGGAGATATAACACAGTGGCCTTTGAATAACACTCTGTTATAAAGAAGAGGATGCCCATAAAATGTACACTCTTCAGCCCCCCCCCCGACTCCCCACAAGCGGTCTGTCTCAAATTCTGCAGCCTAGCAAATAAGTCCACTAAATTTAGTAGCAATGAAAAATTTGATTTAAACGTTTGACACCTTAAATTTACTCTACCGGTAAATCAACTGAAGTCATCATTGATCAACAGAATCCTGAAATACATTAAAATTTCTAGCACTTTATTCCACGCCCTCAACTCTGGGCATGAGTTCAAATGCTGTTATGACAGTTTAAACGCCCCCCCCGCCCCCCATCTCTAGAGGAACCTCACCTGATCCATATTCATTTTGCAACTCAGCTTGGCAATTGCAGTTTGCATTTCTATAAGTTGAAGGCGCAGCTATACCTGCCCTCCAGAGCCACCAGACCCATTTATTTACCTTTTCCAACAGCTGCCGTAGCTGCTTTGTCCTGGCATCCCGCGAGCACATCGTCTGCTGAGGCGCCACCACTGTGCATATGCATCGTCCTTCACTGTCCTGAGCAGAACTGTACACCTGCCAGCTTTCCTCAGGGTTGGTAGGCAACACCTGGTTTGACACACGAGAGAGGGCCCATAAGGCTGGTCTCAGGGGGCAAAGAACGAAAACGCTTAGCAAATGGAGAGGGGCAAGGAAGGCAGAGATAGAAGGAGACGGCGTTCTGAAACAAACTGCTAGGAAGTTTTAACAAAGCACTTCATGCGCTCAATAATCAGTAATACTCTCATTTACATACATCTCGGGAAAACCCACCCTGCAAGGCAGGCCAAGGTAGCATGCTGTAAATAGGGCACCTGAGTGAATCTGCACGAAAATCACAAGGCTGTCCCAATTTACAATTCAGATTCTCAGCTCCACTGCACCACTTGTTTTGGGCTGAGCTCCCCCACTCCACAGGCTTTGCTCTGGCTCAGTGCAGGGGAAGGGAAGGCGCAGCTGGGACCCCCGATCAGCTCCCTCGGAGCAGAAGAGCCCGTCCCTTCGTGGGGAGCCTCGTCTGGTCCCGGGACAGCCCGTCTTGCTTCCTTTCCCGCACCATCAAGCCTTGCAAGTCACCTCACAAAGAGCCGTATGGGCAACCAAGCGCTGTGGTGGCCACCAGAACTGCCAGTTGGAAGTGCCGTTTACCCACTGCTTGGGGTTCTCTTCTCGGCTTCTCCTGGCATGTCTGACTTCACAGCCCCAGGTCTCCATACGTGACAAAGACACGGGAGGACATCCTAGTGGCAACTCTGAAAGCAAAAGGGCTCCTCTGAGGCTGGGGGCCTCTGTGCTCCCCTTGGAAGGCTTAACCCACTTTATATTCTCCCTCCTGCCTGTGTGGAAGATATGCTGGAGAGGGAAGCAGGGGTATTTCTCACCCGGTCCCCTAAAATCCCCAAGGGGCTCCAGGATATAAACTGTCAGAATCCAATTATATTTCATCTCTAGTTATCGACTATGGAAAACCCCATTTCTGTCCTCTCTGGATTCTGTCATAGGATGAAGGGAAGGGGGGTGAACACTTCCTTCTGTACAACTTCAAAGGGACTGAATGTGGATACCACCAAAAGGACTAATCATAACAATGGGGCCATCAGCTTTCATCTAATCCCCTCTAAAGTCTCCCTTCCACCGGCAGTGAGGAAAAAGGGGGTGGAAATGTAACGCCTGGGGTTGTCACTGGAAGAATGGTGGGCTGGGGCTGTTGGGGACCCCTTAAAACCTTGAACCGTAAGGCTTTGGCCCCAAGTCCTGTCTAGAACGCCTGCAGCCATTTTCTCTTAATACAGATGCCTGTTGGAAGAAATATTCCAAGAGTTCTCTCTTCTTAAGGTGCAAAGTGGGGTGGGTCCTGACATAAACTCTCTCTTTGCAAGGAGCAAAGCCCATTGCAGCCGCCGTGTGAATTCACCCTTGCTTGTCTGAGACCAAGTTGATTTCCCACCACTGCAGCAAGAAAGATGGCTCAGCCCTGCTGCTCCCCACAAACAGACCTTGCTGGCCAGCAGAACCCGACAAGGGCAAAGCTGAAGCAGCTCCTGGCTAACCCGTGGAGAGAAGTCAATAGGAGATTCTGCTCAGCCGTGGAGGCAGGAGGCAGGTCTGCCCACCTCCTGTCCTTTCAAGACCCCCTTCAGAGAATCAGGCCATGCCGACCCCTCTCTCTAACATGGCCATCATAAAACAGCTTGGAGGGTGCTCCGGTTTTCCAAGCACTTTGTGTTCTGAAGAAGGGCGGCAGGGTCTATTTTTGCTAGCCACATAAATAATTAACTGCGTTAAAAGCATCTTTATAGCCAGCCTGTTCCCAGGAAGGGGAGGAAGAGAAGCACAAAAGAAAACATTTCCTTTGGCTGACATGCCGAGAGGTCTCAGGGGTGAGGTTTCCAACCGCAGCCCTTGGGGAGACGTCTACCTGGGTCAGGCAGTGTCTTCCGAAGCCCCCAGAGCACACAGGTAGTGAGGGGCTCCCACCATTTCCAGGGGTCTTCCTCAGACAAAATGTTATCAAAAGGAGGACCAGTTCCAGGAGAAGCCATCTTGGTGATGTCCAAGAATCCATGCGGCTTCCGTTTCTTCCATTAGAGGATTTAAAAAATCCAAGAAAGAAAGAAAGAAAGAAAGAAAGAAAGAAAGAAAGAAAGAAAGAAAGAAAGAAAGGAAGGAAGGAAGGAAGGAAGGAAGGAAGGAAGGAAGGAAGGAAGGAAGGAAGGAAGGAAGGAAGGAAGGAAGGAAGGAAGGAAGGAAGGAAAGGACATGGTCCCAACTGGGTCCAATCCATGTGTCAATCCCGGCTGGGTCAGAAACCCAGTGCTGCAAGAGGAATGGGCTGACGGAGCGCCTGCTGACAATCCCACAGCTCTTTCTTGCTCAGCAAGAAATTGAGACCTCCCCCCTTCTGCTGATAATGTCCTGCTCGGTGGCAGAGCTAAGATGGCAATAAATCAACCCAATTGGCGTATCTGCTTAATTGGCTCTCTGGCTCCCACACCAGAAGGCAGTAAATTTTGCCTTCTGCCCTGACCTTATTCAGCCACTCCGACCGGATCGGGAGGAAAGCCATCTGACCTGGCCAGGGGGCCTATTTGCTTGCCACTTCCTTTCGGCCACCTGCCTCACCAGGCCGCTGGTGAGGATAAAGCCGGCTAACTCCGCGATGTGGTTTAACCTATTCTGAACTCGCTAAGTTTCCAAACACAAAGCAGTATCTGAGCTGAGCATGGACCGTGCTGGGCCCCATCCAAGGCCTCGGTCTGGCCCAAAGGCTGCAAATGCTGTGGCTGCTGTTTTGATATGCTCCAGCTCAGATAACGCCCTGCGCCTTCTGCTGCTGGGCAGACTGGAACAGACCGAGCCAGGTGGGCCAGGATGGGGGATGGGGAAGTGGTGGCAGAGCCCCTCCATCTCTTCTCTGGAGGGGACCCTTGTCCAGAAGGATCTAAGCAGAACTGACAAAAGGAGGGAGGGGCAAGTGGAGAGAAGCAACGGGGTGGTTGGGGGGGGGGACTGGCTGGCACCAGCAAGTTTAAGTCTTCAGGATGAGACCAATGAATCTTGAAGATTGTCAGAGGGACATAGTCATCTCCGAGAAATCATGGAGGGTCAGAATAGTGCCAGAGAATGGAGGAGGGTCAATTTTGGTCTCATCTTCAAAACAGGGGAAAAGAGGACCTGGGCAATCACTAACCAGCCAGCATTGCAACCAACATCAGGCAAAATTTTGGAAAAGATTATTAAATCTTCCCCCAAGCGCTTGGAAAAGAACGCGCTGCTTGGTAAAGAGGCAACATGGATCCCTTAGGAATAAAACATTCCAAGCTCCACCTGATCTCCTTTTTTGAAAGGCTGACCTCCGCTGACCGGACGGAAGATGCCTTGTCTTCAGCAATGCAAGTGGCGAAGTGGGCCGGAGGGTCCAAGGAGAGGGCAAAATGTGGGCCAGGGGGCTGGGGTCATCAGATGGGCAGAGCCGGCTGGACAATTGTGCCCAGCGAGTGTCAAAGGCGCCCAGGGAGAGAGGAAGGGCGGAGGGGGAACGGAGGGCCCTTCGGTACATTTATATTTATACATGACTTGGGAAAATGCTCAGGAAACATGATAGTCAAGTTCAGCAATGACGCAAACACTGGAGGGATACAGCTACCTGAGAAGATCAATATTCAGAAGAATCTTGATAAGTTGGAATGTTGGGCAAAAAAAACAACCAACCCCCCCCTTGGTGAAGCATTTCACTAAGGGCAGCCGGTGAGGAAGAGCAAAGGCCGGTGGTAGGAGGAGGATTCAAGATGGGGGGAGGGGGCCTCTCTCAGCTGGAGGGGCACCACCTCTCAGGAACACGGCGGGTGGACTGGATAATGTCCTCCCATGCTATGGTTCTATGAAACTCCCAAATTGATGCAGTCGTGAGATACACGGGGAGAGATTTTTAGGGACAGACGCTACTGTCAGAGCACATGATAGGAGCATGCTTTTTCTTTCAAACACTCAGCCAATTATGAAAAACACCCACACAGTGTTTATGTGGGGGCCGCAGACCTCCATCTGTGCCTCCAAATGTCCAATGCACAAGCAGCAGCTTCCCACAGTTTCTCTCCCCCCCCCAATCTAATTGCTGGGAGGGGGCCGCTCAGTAGCAGCTGGGGCAAACCTGGGGCTCACAGGTTTGGGCAAAATGAGGAACAAGGTGAACCGTCCCCTTTGCAGAGAGGGGGCTCTTTACTCCGCAGCAATTATTGAGTACCTCAGAACTTTCCCCCCTTGAGCTCTTACGTAAAACAACCATTTCCTGCTATCCACACTGCAGGAGAGGAGTGGGGCACGCAGATCTCCCTCTTCTTCATTTGGGAAGGAGCCACTCAGGCCATCTCACGGTTCCGCTGAATAAAGGGCTGAATGGCTTCCCTTCCCATAGCCGTTTGCTTTGCAAGGCCTTTGGGGCAGGGAAAGCCACCTGCCAGCTCTTGGCATGCTGCTGGGCACCCACCTTGCCAACTCTACCTCTGCCCCTGCTGCCCACGGGGGTCCCCTTGGAACAGTGTCACACACAGAGGAACCGGCAGGCTTTCCAAGGGGGACCATTCACACCACAGATAGACACCCAATAGACACCCACATTCAAGGGAAGGGAAGGGAAGGGAAGGGAAGGGAAGAGAAGAGAAGAGAAGAGAAGAGAAGAGAAGAGAAGAGAAGGAGAAGGAGAAGGAGAAGGAGAAGGAGAAGGAGAGGAGAGGAGAGGAGAGGAGAGAAGAGAAGAGAAGAGAAGAGAAGGAGAGGAGAGAAGAGAAGAGAAGAGAAGGAGAAGGAGAGAAGACAAGAGAAGGAGAAGGAGAAGGAGAGAAGAGACAACCGCCCAACCTCTTTTAAGTCCCACCAATTCCCTGATAGCCAGTGTGGTGTGGTGGTGAAGGCCCCAGGCTAGAGATCAGGAGACGGTGAGTTCCTTGTCCCACCTTAGGCACAAGGCCAGCTTGGTGACCCTGGGCCAGTCACTGTCTCAGCCCTAGGAAGCAGGCAATGGTAAACCACTTCCAGAAAACCTTTCCAAGAAAATGGCAGGGACTAGTCCTGTCAGTTGCCAGGAGTCTCACACACACAAGTGGGGGGTGGGGAGCTTCCGCCATCAAAGAGTGCAGAGCTACAGCCATGTCTCTGCTCGGGATTCAGAAAGGAAGCAATCGGTCAGCGCTTTCTTTCATGTCCCTTGACCTCTGCAGGACCTCAAGAGTCTAAGATCCAAATAGTCCAGAAAGCCAGGGCCTTCCGTTGATGAGCGTGGCTCCAAGGCATAGATAGGACTGGTCAGGGGTCATTGGTGAAGGCAAGAAGAAGGGGAGGGGGGATTCAGCCACAGGCAACAACCCCACCCCTCCTGATCTGCTGGCCGGGCTCCCCTCAGCTCCAGGGACACAGCCCAGCCCAGCCCAGGAGGCCAAAGTCTTCCGAACAGACCACCCAAACCAACTTCTGCAGATGCCCTCAGTGCTCCGTGGGGTCCTCCTTTGGCACCCCCTCATTCTTTATGTCCGCCCAAAGCCTCTCTCTTTCCCACTTGCCTAGAGACACCAAAACAGCTTATCTGATCAAACTGACTTTGGTCTCTTCCTTGGGAAGGTGTGTGTGTGTGCGTGGGGGGGGGGAGGCAAAGTAAAGCCTTGAATGTAAAATGTTAAAAAAAAAATATTTTCTAAATCAGCCAGTAGATATTTGTAAGGAGGGAAGCCCACCTGAATCTCAACCACATAATTTGTAGCTGAAGAGGGAAAAGACTTCTCCACCCAAACCGGCCCCTTTTCCTCTGAAATCCTCTAAAGAGCCCTTGGAGGAATTAGAGGAGCAAGACCCACTTAAGCAGTGATGGAAACCACGGACATTTCCCTGGGTGGAGAGGGCTGGACAGAAACCTGGAAGAAAAGAAGGGGTGCTGTGTCCCCCCTGGGACCCTCTAGATTTGTCTGACATCTTCTGTGAAAAATCCCTTCGGTTTTTGTGCGGTGCCCCCCCCCCATTTTTTTGTTTAATGCACGGTAAAGTCTTTGATGGGGGGGCTTTCAAAACTGGCCTCAGGATGGGCAGATACACACACACACACACACACATCCCGGAGACCGATTTGTCCCCCCCACCGCCCATCTCCACCTCACCCCCCATCCTCGTCTCTGCCCCCCCCTTAGGTTCCCCTGGGCTTCCTTTCCCGCCCGCGGGCCTCTCCTTGGAGGCCGAAGCGGCCACGGGGGCGTCTCCTCCTCCTGCCCCCCGTCCTTTCTGGGGGCGGAAGGGGGGCGCCCCAGACTTTTCTTCACCAGCTCCTGCGGAGCTTTCCTCACGACCCGATTCCCCGCTTGGAGGGAGCTCACCGCTCAATCGGGAGGGGGCCCGGCAGAATGGGCGGCCGGGGCTCGGGGACGCGACCCGTCGGGCCGCCCGGCTGCACTCAAACTTGGCGGGCGGGTGGGAGGCGGCCCGGCCCCGCTTTCCTCCCCGCCCGAATCGCCCCCCCCCGGAGGCGCCGCGTGCCCATCCCCGGCGTCCCCCCGCCGCCCCCCGCGCCGACCTCGCCCGTCCTCCCCGCGCGGGGGGCTGCGGCTGCGCCGGGCGGCCCCTGACGGATGGATGGCTGCGGAGGGCCGGCCGCGACGCCCCCTTCCCGGAGCGGCGCGTGACTCACGCCGGTGCTGCGGTCCAAGGTGCCCCCCGAGGCGGCGCTCAGCTTGGTGGTGTTGAGCCCCACGAGCGAGGGCAGCGTCTGCGACATCCAGTTGGTGATCATGGCCATCGTGCTCAGCACCACGCCGATCTTCAGCAGCGGCACCGACATGGTCCCGGCAGGGCGCGCCCGCCCCTTCCTCGCACCCGCCGC